CAATATTGTTTCCTCAGGACACAGCGTTGAGAATGAGATTAAAACTCCGCAATTATTTCAAGACAAACTCAAATAATGAAATACGTTGTCTTTGGCGTGAAACTGCGGTAGACTACAAAATGGTGGATAATTTGCTATCTGATTCAGCCACGTCATCTCAGTCTCTAAAAAAATTGGAAGATGGTCGTATTGCTGCTTCCCTAAGTCACGTGGTCTTACTTCAGGGTCAAGGTTCCCTAATCAAGTCGGTAACAAACGTACTATCATCTTCTTAAATAACAAACTGGTCTAAGAAATTCGATTTACTGCCAGATACTCTGTTTAAATTTGCTAGAAAATATTTAATTCAGCAACTGCTAACTAACGCTAATCTGTTTAGATGGGGTAAGACACTGAATCCCTTATGTCCTCTCTGTGGCGCTAAACAAACGAACAAACATGTAGTTTCCAACTGTGGATCCGTAGTCGCGTTAAAACGATATACAGAAAGACATGATAGAATTTTATCAGAAATCATCAATTGCTTGATGTCAAGCCGTTCATCTGATTGCCTGATATTTGCTGATATCGTAATGAACGGAGTCCTGCCAATGTCACAACTGTTCGTCAACCTACGTCCAGACATCGCCATTCTACAGGGCAAAAAGTCGTTGAGTTGACAGTGTGCCATGAAACTAATCTAATTCATTCTAAAAATTACAAGCAATCGAAACTTTGTACAGTACAACTTTGTTTATTGCGCATTTACTAAAACTGTGGGTGATTAAAAGTTCCAACACATTTTATAGAGTGACTTTTTTGTCTCAATATCGAGTTATTGCTGTTTTTAATTTTTTTCAATGCACATTATTTTTTGCACCACCACTATTTCAACCACTTTAAACAAAAGATTAATTTAGAGTTCAGTTTATAATTATTTAGAGCAGACGCGTTTTATTTAGACTTTTCAACAACGGGATAACAGCAGCATGAGCGACCAATTTTTTAAATATTGCTTTTCTGTATGATTAATGTTTAAACATTTATAAATAATATAACTGCCAAATAACATCTAAAAATTTATTGACATAGCATAATAACCTTTCTGGCCATCGAACGCAGCTGTACTTGCAGTATTGATGATAACACCCCTCTCGCCATTAGAATTTGGTTCATTTTTTGCCATCATTTGACTGCTTAATCTCAAAATGTTGAACGTCCCTCCTGTATTAACCTTCACATTGTTAATGCAAAAAATTTAATTTCATAAATTTTTATCATTGCTATCAAATTCTAAAAGCTAAATTTGCCTTTTCTAAAATGATTAAGTTATAATAAGTGTAAATTTTTTAACTTTTGATGACAAAAACTTATCACCAGTGTTTAACCATACGAACTTTGCATCTATAGAAAATGTCGATAGAAGTTTAGTGTGAATCAATCAATCAATCAATCAATCAATCAATCAATCAATCAATCAATCAATCAATCAATCAATCAATCAATCAATCAATCAATCAATCAATCAATCAATCAATCAATCAATCAATCAATCAATCACGAAGATTGATTGATTAAAGTTCAGTGTGAATAAATTTCTTAACAAGGATGCAATTCTGTTTATCAATGTTCTATTATTTTGTTAAAATTATATCGTTAATTAAATTAGAGTTAACAAATTCTCAAAAGGTGAACGGTGGGGTGCATTCGTTTTTGAACGCTTATAGTATTTTTTAGTATATATATAGTGAGTTAGTATATTTATAGTTATTTATAGTATCAATATCTCAATTTCAATAGTTGAATATGACGAATCAACCAAATCATCATGTTGCATTATTTAATCACAATAGAGATGTCATCGTTATTTTCATGAAATCTGAAATTGGAAGAGAAGAATCAGCGATATGTAGTATTGAGCATTTTAGAATTTGTTGACGATTGCTGAGAAACATGATGGACGATTTTTTTGGGTTCAGTTAAAAATATTTACGAAGAGGCCAGCTTTAATCACTTTTGTGCGAGCGCTCAAGTTGTTAAGCTGATAAGTGATATTTGACTAAGAGATCACTGTATAGAGGCAAGTATCACCAGCGAAGTGATGATAAAAAATATAAAATTCCGAGATATTATAGATGTGGTGACATAAGTTGTGAAAAAAGGAGACCAACCACAGAACCCTGTGGAATATCATGCAGTCAAGGAGAGTGGAAAGGAAGATTGTGAACCTAGTCTAATGTATTGACAGCGATCAGATAAATATGACCCGAACAGGTAAGAGCAGGGCCCTTTACGCCAAATTCATGCTCTAGTGCTAGGCTAAATGTTAAACGCTGCTGTACAATTCTAATTTCCCCAGAAGTTGGTCATATTAACATTAAACATGTTTTTTATTATCAATCGTAGTAGTTATTGTTAATGATGTGATTTTTTTTGTTTTTTATGCTGTTGTTGCTGCTGATGATAATTTGATTGTTGAAGTTGCAGCTGTGGTTTGCGTGGATGGTGTGGTCGTTGATGTCGTTGCAGCTGATGTTGGTTATTTTTGTTCTTTATTGTAAACAGAATTTTTTCAGCCAATGATGAATACAAAACGTTAATCGAAGAGTGAATTTTTTTAAATCTTGACAATACTTTGTATTATTTATAACCATTTTTTTTTCTATTTCACAAATCCTGATGTATTCTGAGTTTTGGTGCACGCAATCACCAATTTTGCGCTTAAAAGAAAAGGATCAGGTGGCTACTTTTTTCGGAGATAGGTCTGAAATTAATATTTTTTTAGTCTTTATTATTGCATCTCAGAAACACTTACAATGTTGCATATATATTATCTATAATCTTTTTTTATTACGTTCTTCATATCTTCACCCATTGATTTAAAGCAGCCATCTTCGCCACAAAGGCTGTTCATCTTTTTCACAGGCGCACTTATGTATTTATGTGCACGCGCAAGCACCGCATTATATACGCTGAGTATATGATAGCCATTGAGATGTTTGATTTAACGCGCATCTGAACCACTGAGCCATCTCGCCCTCTCCCCATTTGCCGACCTTAGAAGGATGGGCGGCTGGGTTGTCCGGGGGTCGGCTACACAGATGAACCTGCAGAAACAGCAGGATTCGAATCCGGGTCGTGGGACCATATTGTTTTTTTTATTATTATAGATGATGTTTCTCAAATAGAAAAACATTGTTAAACGAAAAATTGGACTTGAATAAATCCTTGGAAAACAAACAAAGAGGTGTGTCTATTAGTACAAATTTTTTTCGAGTAAATGTGTACAATACAAATACTCGTACAAATCTCGTTTCAAGTAGTACGATTTGTATAATACAAATCGTACTAATAATGAAACAATTGCTACTCCAGTCAAATAGTCTATAATAAAGAATAAAAAAAATAAAACTAGTTGGTTGATAAAATCAAATCTAAAAAATAGAATGAAGGAAACTATCAATAATGGCTAAAACGATGAGACAATAGGCAGAATGGTAAACAATAATTATAAATTATTGTGTATAAGGTTGGTAAATTAATGTACAGATGGAAATGGTACATAAAAGTTGTCAAATATCGTGTACGTTTTATTAAGTTGAATGGAATAAATAAGTAAAAATAAATAAAACAAAATTAATAACTGTAGACTGTAGTTATGAAAGGAATAAAATAAATTGAAAATAGGACAACATTAAAAGGAATGCATGTCAGGTGTAATTCATATAAATTATTTGGATTAGCGATTAGTGTCCGACTGATTGTTGTTGATTGATTTTAGATGTCTCATGTCTATGGATAAATATTTTATTCTGATATGTTGAGCATGCGGTTTGCCTTGTTTGCGTTGACGTTGGTTGTGCGACATGACTTTGATCGGTGGCAGCAAAAGTGGATGACATGATGGCAGAGCTTATTTTCTTAAAAAACCGGACGTCTAACGTGTCGAAGATTTTTAGGTGATGGCTGGATATAATAATGGTAAATAACTTAGTCTAATCAATTTGTTGATGAGTGATTGTAGTTGATGTAATTTACTGGGTGGCATTCAACTTCGATTTCATAACTTACAGTTCTCATCCATTGTCTCGTTCGAAATAACAGCTAAAAAGAAACTTTTTCAGCTTTAACAATTGAAATTTTCGTATTCTTGACATTTTCTGTTTTACGATTTTAATTTTTAATTATGACTTTTGAAATTATTAATCATAATTTAATTAAGGTGGTCTGCATAAAATATTTTTGTTGGATTTCCTAGCTATATTGTTTAAATTGGAAAAACATAGAGAAAAAAAATGGCAGAAATGACTAATCGAGATTAGTAATTTCTATGACCAACTATTCAAAAATTTCATTTAAGATGCATTAGTCATTTTTGAAACTAAAAAAGAATCAATATCTCCACTAAAGAATTTATAATTAGGTATGTTAATTAACAAACAAGATTCAACAGTGTTTCAGTCATCCAATTATACTAGGGTCAAAATACTAGGAGTAAAAAAATCGCAAGTCATTAACTTTGGAGAAAAACTTCTAGAGTTTATGAAAAGGATAGAGTAAAAAATTAACATTATAAATTGTTATTATTGTTGTTATTATTATTATTATTATTATGGGAACCCACAACCAATCTAAAAACCAGAGCTTGGCTTCAGTTTGCCGATGACACGGCCAACATTGCCAACAGCACTGACAGTGCCCAGAAATTAATTAATCTGAACCAAGCCTGGTGCAAAGCAACCGGAATGAGTATGAGGATTGACAAATGCTGCGCCTTTGGCATGAGAAAGAAAAATGGCATATACAAACAGTTTCTCCCAAGGTTGACCATCGATGATAAAGCAATACCTGACGTTGAACTTAATAGTCGTTTCGAATACCTGGGAAAAATTTACGATTTTGAAGGACGCGACTCAAGGGCGAAAAAGTTGCTTGTCGTAAACTCCAACACATGTTGTCGGTTATAAACGGGTTGGACACAACGCCACAATGGAAATTGCAAATATTAAGGCAATACATCCCATCCCAGTTGGCATTCGAACTTCGCACTTTCGACATTCCGTTGACTTGGATAGGCAACAATCTGGATCCATTGATTGCTGAATCGGTTAGAAACTGGTTGGCCCTGCCAATTAGCAGCTGCGTGTCGGAGTGTCTATCACTCCCTTCTAAATCAGGAGGATTGAATATCAGGTCATTGAAGAGTTACGCAGAAGCGTTAAGAGTCAAACTTCGAAGTTACCTCAAAACTCATGCCAATGAAGAAATAAGGTGTCTACATAAAGAATCTTTCAACAGTTACATCAAAATAGACAACATCCTTCCTGAATCAGCTGAAATAAAACCAACACTCAAAGCACTATTGGCGGGTCAACAAAAGTCCGACTATGTTCATCTATCATCACTTCAATGTCAAGGGATGTTAATAAAAGCGGTTAAAGATCATATTCCAGAAATCCACATAAGTCAATGGTCGAAGTTCACAAAAGGTCTACCAGAGGTTTTATTCAAATTTAACAGGAAGGCTCTCATTCAACAACTTCCAACAAACACCAACCTCTACCGCTGGGGCAAAATGCCAAATGCTCTGTGTCCACTATGTCAGGCTCGTCAAACTAACAAGCACGTGTTGTCAAACTGCAGTTCGATTTCGTCCCTGAAAAGATATACAACACGTCACAACAATATACTATCGTTGATTTTAGAAAAAATTCAATCATTTGTTGGTGCGGATGTATTGATCTACGCAGATTCCAACTGCAGCAAATACCTTCCAGTATCTCTACAAATCACTTCGTCCAGATATTGCCATTCGACGAGATGATACAATCGAAATACTGGAATTAACAGTTTGCCATGAATCTAACTTTTCTAAATCTAAAGAATATAAAACATCAAAATACTTTCAAAATCTTAATAACAATTTGATAGACAACTAAAAACTCAAATATTATAATAAATTCATTTGAAATTTCCCCGCTAGGTTTTTTTATATATTTTAAACTATCATTAATTAATTTTATTTGGTCAGACCCTTTTCATAGAAGTTTAATTAATTCCGTAGTATCGTCATCTTACGCAATTTACTGCGATAGGAACACGATTTGAACATAATTAAATGCTGATTCTAATTCTCTTTGTGACCATTTAAAATGTATGGCGAGCATTGTAGATTATCTTTATAATTAACATTATAAGTTTTATTATTATTATTATTGTTGTTGTTGTTGTTGTTGTTATGTTATTCACTCTATTGACATTCCTCAGAGGAGGTTGGATCTTATAAAATTGGTTGGATCTTGAAAAAATTAGAATAAAATAATAAGTTATTAAAAGAATTAACTTCAGGTTCAGCATAATTAAGATGATTTAAAAATTAAAAATCTTAATTAGAAAAAGAACTCACAAAACTATAGTTTGAATTTAAACTTTTAAATGCCATTGTTATCAGTACTTAAATTTCATAATAATAATAATAATAATAATAATAATAATAATAATAATAATAATAATAATAATAATAATAATAATAATAACAACATTATAATAACAACAATAACAATAATAATAAATACTTTCTTAATCTGTCATTGACGGTTAAATGAACATCACACACCTCAAGAAAATTGTAAATATTAATTTCAATAAATTCGCAAAAATTTACTGTCAAAACTTTGATGAAATCTTCATATGAATGTACCCTATCTTTATTTTGGTTGTATACAACAGCTGCAATACTTATTCCAGCACAATTTACAGCAACGTTTAATTTTCCAAATTTTGATTTGATACAGGCAAAAAGATTTTTCACGTCATTTTCCGATGTGACCTTGATTTTTAAAAACAATTCACATGTCTACAAAAACATGTTTAAAATTTAAATTTTCATAAAATGCATTTCAAACAAAATGGACAAATCAACAACAATTCAGATGTTTACAAAAACATGTATAAAATTTATATTTTCATAAAATACATTTTAAACAAAATGGACAAATCCACAACAGAGAAAACATTGAAAAATCACAAGTAACCAAATAATAAAGCGATGCGATGGAGCTCAGTAACCAATTAAATAGCTCAATAAAGAATTCTAATGAAGCATGTAAAATAACACAGACCAACTGGGACATTAAAACACCAATTTTGTTTCTTGATATGTTATTAAGCTATAAAAGCACTATACAAAACAATAAATATATTCAAAAATGGTTCTTCTGGTTATAAATGGCGCTAAACAAAATGAATTTCAATATTTTGACAATTTGAATACCAATGGCTCAAAAAATCGAAAACAGATTTTAACAAAACTATGTTTATCAATTAAGGCTATAAAATACTTTGAATATATAATAAAACAATTATTTACTTTGTGAAAGATTTTGAGCTATGCGCTTCAAAAACGTGAAAATTTTCAAAAAATTCAATTTTTTAAAAATGTTTTGTGCAAAACATCTTGATTCGAGACAATTATTATTATTTGTTCTATTATAACATTGTTTCAGCAATATGTGCAAAAAATATCATTTAGATTTATTTGTTAGTTTGAGAGATACGGCATTCTACACAGGTACAACTTTTGGAAAAAAATCACTCAAAAAAATAGAGGGTGGTGTCACAAAAATCTTCCTAACTTGTAAAATAATTGAAATATTTTCATAAAACTTCTATTTTGTCAATAAAATACATTGAGGTACAAATTGTTAAAATTAAAAAAAAAATCAGAAATGGTCAGGCGTGAACTTTTTTAAAATTGCTTGAATTGAAATATCCACATATATATACATGCAATTATTGATGATAATCACAGCATGTTTGGCGTTAGTTAACTTCCAATTAACGCAGAACATGCTGTGATGTTCATCAACAATTGGATTTTTGAACAACATATATACATATCTTTATTTATTTTTTTCTAACGATTTGAAATTTAATGGCAACATTATTCATGGAATAGTCAAATTCACACTTAGATAATCACCAGTAAGATCAAACAGTTTTCTAAAATATTTCTTATTAGAAAAGTGCTACTCAATCAATTAGTTTGTAGAGTGCTATTTCCACGATGTTCAACAGCACTTCTAAGTGAATTTTGAAAACAGATGGGTCTTGAGATCCGCTTTGAACTTCGTACGTGATGGAGAAGTAGTCAGAGAAGGAGGTAGAGAGTTCCAGAGAAAAGGGTCAGAAAAAGCAAATGCAGATTTAGAATGTTTAACACGAGTTAAAAAAAAGTGAGAACAAGAAGACGATCATAAACCGGGGCGTTTAGGTTCAATTAATATATTTGATAACAACAACAACAACACACGTTTAGACGACATTTTCCCCGAGATCGGGGGTTGCCGTTTGGCTACCTATGATGAAACCGAAATACCCCTCGACGCCATCCACATCTGTCACTCGCCTCAGTATCACGCAACCCCGCTTTCACCCTGTCTTTCTCCACCTGCTCTCTCCATCCCAATCGCGGACGACCCCTTCCTACCACTCCTTCAACCTCGAACTCCAACGCTCGCCTAATCCCGACCCTTTCATCCCTTCTCAACACATGTCCATACCATCGCAATCTCGATCTCCTTATCAATATCACAATGTCCTCATTCAGTCCCAACATCAACATCAGCTCTGTACTACTCCTCCTATCCTTCACTTTAACCCCACACATCATCCTCACCATAGCTCTTTCAGCCCTCTGCAGTACACTTTCCTCCTCTCTCCTCAACACCCAAGTTTCACCACCATATACCATTGCTGCTCTCACACATGCTTTATATACCCTCCCTTTCATCTTCACTGACCATTTCTTTCCACACAATACCCCACCTAGTTCCCTAAATTTCATCCATCCCACACGAACTCTAGCCGTAACTGCGCTCAAACATCCTCCATCCGCGTTCAGCATATCCCCTAAGTAAACAAAGCTTTCCACTCTTTCAATACCACCACTCAACCCCGTCCTTGCGTCCGTCCTATTAATCACACCATGAACACATTTCTTACATTTGAACGTGCCTTCCACCTTTTTCAGTGCCCCCCCTCACACTACTACATCTCTTATTGCACCCATTTCTGACATCCTATACACAATACCGAGTTAGCCTTCACTCTCCTGTCACATACCCCACAGTGGTCTATTTTACTTATCACTCGCTCCCCACCTTCCCCACTCACCATTACCTTCGTCTTACCAATATTAACTTTTAACCCTTTCTTTTCAATAACACTTTTCCATCTGTCAAATTTTAACTGCAATTCTTCCATGCTATCAGCCATCATGACTAAATCATCTGCATACAAAATCTTAAATAACAACCCCTCCATTAAGCTTCCACACGCAACATCCATCACAATTGCAAACAGAAACGGTGATAACACTGATCCTTGATGCACTACCTTAACACTAAAAGCGTCCGACACCCCCCTTCCAACCCTCACCTTTGTCTTTGCCCCTTCATACAGCTGCATCACAGCTTTAACAAGTCGCTCATTCACTTCTTTCTTCCTCAACGCCCATTCAATGACCTTCCTCGGTACTCGATCAAAAGCCTTTTCTAGATCCACAAAACACATGTACAATCTTCGTTTCTTCTTTCTATAATTCTCCTGCAACATTCTCACCATGAACAACGCATCCACCGTTCCCCTACCAGGCATAAACCCACACTGCATTTCATTAACTGTCACCATATTTCTCAACCTCCTCTCAAGCACCCTCTCCACTACCTTCATTCCGTGCTCTAGCAATTTCACACCCCTATATAACCCACAATCTCTTACATCTCCTTTGCCCTTATACAACGGCACCAACACACTGTGTCGCCAATCCTCAGGTATACCTTCATCATCAAACATACTGTTAGCAATTCTCATCATAACTTCAATTCCTATCACCCCACTCGCTTTTATATGTTCTGCCGCCACTTTCGAAACCCCTGTCGCTTTACCTAGTTTCATTTCTCTAACTGCTTTCTCTACTTCCTCCATCGTCACCTTCTCTATAGGTCCGTGTGTGACCGCGGATTCCACATCTCCATCCCACTCATTCTCTTCATTCATCAACCTTTCCATATGAGCTTCCCACACTTGAGCTTTTTCCTCCTCATCTATGCACAACTTGCCAGATCCATCCCAAACACATCCATTCCCTATAACATCTTTCCTATCCCTCATTGACTGCTTTGCTACGTTGAACATTTTCCTCGAACTCACATCAAATTCCATTTCCTTCATTAACCTATCTGATGCTTTCGTCATTGCAGTTGCCACTGCCTGTTTTGCAACCTTCTTAGCCTTCCTATACTCAGACTCCGCTTCCTCCGTCATGTCCCTTCTCCATACCCTAAACCTCTCCTTCTTGACCTCCAAAACCCTTCTTATATCTTTATCCCACCACCGCGTCTCACCATGCCTACACTTTCCTTTCGTCCATCCACATACTTTATCTGCCGTAGCCAACACACAGTCCCTGTATCTCTCCCAAACATCTCCATCCTTACCACTCTCCCAATTTTCAGCCACCTTCACTTCAAATGCCTTCCTCACCTCTGCATCCTGCAACTTCCATGTCTTTCTCTTTGCCACAAACTTATCCTTCTTCCTCCTCCCCATTTCTTTTGATGTCACATCCATCACAACCATACTATGCTGCAGCATACCAGGTATCGCCTTCACATTCTTCACATACTTCCTATGTTTGGCCCTTACCAATATATAGTCTATCATTGACCTATGCTCCCCTGACCTATATGTAATCATTCGCGCTGGTTCCCTTGTAAATTAGGTATTCCCCACCACCATGCTATGTGCATCCGCCAACTCCAACACTCTACGCCCTTCCTCATTCCGTATACCATATCCCCATCCCCCATGTACACTTTCACATCCGTCTGCATCCGCCCCCACATGACCATTCAAATCACCCAACAACACCACAAACTCATCCAACCCCGCTTGCCCAATCTCGTCAGAAACATCATCATCTTCTCCTCTACCTTCCTACTTTGTTGCGGAGCATATCCTGATATCACCCTCACTATTACTTTTCCAAACACCATCACCATCACAATTACACCATTGCTTCTCCGCCTCACTTCCAACATCTTCTCCACCAACTCTTCTCTTACCATCACACCAACTCCTCCCGTACCATCATACCCCTTCCACCACAACTTATATCTTTCACCTTTAGCCCCCACAAACCTTGTACCCTCCCCCTTCCATCTGATCTCCTGTAATGCAGCCACGTCAACCATTCTCCTCTGCAGCTCCTCCACCACTTCCAAACTTCTTCCTGTCAACGTGCCTACATTCCAGGTACCAAACCTCCAACCCCTTGGTCTACAAGTAGTCCTTCCATCTATAGTGCCTTGCACCGCCACACTATAGAGTGGGGTGCCAGTAGCCAGACCATCCACAGGGCCTTGCACCACAACCCCATGGACTGGGTCTCCGGAGATTCTTCGCACCCTCATCTGCCGGATACTGAGGGCCATTGTTATTTCCGTCATCATAAGTATTATTTTTGGCTAGTTTTTACGCAGGACGCCCTTCCTTACGCAACCAGTTATAAGCGGTGGGACTAGCCTTTGATGATCCAACATCACTCACAAGGCAGTGAGGGTCAGTTTAATGTCATAACCAGGACACTAAGAAGGTAACATACACAGATATAAATAAAATATAACTACTAACACCCATAGGTACAAAAAGTGCATTATTTTTGTACAAATTTGTACAAAGTAAGAATGATTTTTCTTTTCATACGTGCCAGTCCCAAACCTGGATAAAGTTGTGAGGGTGAGTTGGAGTAAATGTAAGATCTTTACCTGACGATCTAGTTATATGAAATCTTAAACACAGTATGAGTATGGAGTATGCACAAAAAAGATTTCCCAAAGCTTTTGGGTATCGGAAGATCTACACTGCAGGAGTGAGAAGCCTCAAGTCACTCAGGTTGGCATCAAGCAAATTCTTCAGGGGCATCACGACTTTAACAGGGCTTGTAATCTTTTCAGGAGTAGAACAAGCAATGCGCCCAGTCTGTGCCGAGATTCTGTGGTAGCACAGTACGTTAAAATGCAGAACCCACAGAAAGAAAAATATGTCAGTGTGAGACTGGGATCTTGGAATGTAGGTACGTTGTCTGGAAAAACATAAAAGTTACTGAAGCACTATTGAGGAAAAGATATCTGCTGTTTACAAGGAGTGGGAATAATTGTAAGTGAACATTGGATAAGGTGGTTGGAGTAGTAAAACTTTCAACTGGAGAGGGGTTGTTAAATGTAATTTCGGGATATGCTTTGCAAAGCGGTAGAAAAGAGGAGGAAAAAATGAATTCTGGGATGAGTTGAATAAAATAATGACTAGGACACCTGAAAAAGGAATGGTGATTTTAGGAGGGGACTTAAATGGACATGTTAGAAAAGAATGTAATGGTTATGAACAAGTGCATGGTGGAAATTAGTATGGAGAAAGAAACAATGATGGTGAAAGAATTTTAGATTTTGGAATTGCCTAGAACATGACAAATAATAAAAACCATGTCATTTAATAACATAGGAATTAGGGAAGGTCAAGAGCACAGTAGATTTCATTTTGGCAAAAAGATATAGCCACAGGTGCTTTAAAAATGACAGAACGTTTTGTAATGAAGCATGTGTTAAGAAGTGTTAAGCAGCATAAGCTCCTGGTTTGTGATTTGATACTAAGGTGGGAAGAAAAGACAAAAAAGATTACAGAGACCAGAATTAAAACTTGGAAATTGAAGAATCCGAAAACCATGATAGCATATCAAAATACGGTTCGAAAATAGGGTAATATTGTTGATGAAGATTTGGGTGTAGAAAAATCATAGGTTGAAATAAAAAATAGTATGCTAAAGGTAGCTGAGATATTATGTCAAGTAAGAAAGGGCCAGCACGACATAAGGAAACATGGTGGTGGAATGAAACGGTCGAAAAAGCAATGAGGAATAAAAAAATCGTTATAAAAAATGGAAAATATCTAAAAACAAAGATGATAACTTTAAAAAAAAGACTAAGATTACAGTAGCAACAACAAATCGAAAGTATTGCAAGAACTTATCAAAAAAGCTGAGTACAGAGGATGGTAAGAACGCTGTTTACCATATGGCTGTCAGGGGCGTCATTTCAAATTTTGGTTGGGGGGGGGCGAAGTTATGTGGTCTATGACTTAGCATGTAACATATATATATATATATATATATATATATATATATATAACATATATATATATATATTTATATATATATATATATTTATATTAATAAAGATCACGACGTTTCTTACAGTACTCAATCTATATGATAGTTTCTCGATTCTTCAAATAATTCTCCAATCTACCAAGCTTAACTTGTTAATGCTATTAACAAAATTCCTATTTACAGAAGATGTCATTATCTACATGTATGCATGCATATAGTACTATTTCGACTACCTAGTCTCATCAGTGCAACATTATAATAAATTTTACATTTTTAAAGTTTCTAAAATTTCAAAATTTTTAAAATTTTAAAATTACTAAATTATTTATCCTATATATATCCTTTTTACAAAAAATTTAAAATTAACACTTTTATAATTTATAAGTTTAATTTTTTTCTTTGGTAATTCATTTTCAGCTGACATCTTTCTACAATATAATCTAAACTTTTTATAAAATTTATTACAATATCCAGAAAAAATAGTTATTGTTATTTGACTTACCAACTTGGTGATTTAAAATATTTTTTATATCATTGATAATTAAGTTAATTTAATCATTTATTATTGATTAGTAGTTTGATCAAATTTATTAACGAAACTGAAACAATTTGTATTCAATTCAAACTCACCTCCACTCTTTATCTTAAAAAATGATATAAATTGACTTCCAGCTAAATCAAAAGAACATTAATAACAGCGAACGCGACAGTTAATTTGGCAACAACACAACGGTTTTTATAAAACAGAACATGAATTATTGTAGGAACAAATGAAGAAAATTGTAAAGCGCTTGACATTTAAAAATTCAAAAAGCACAATATTTTGTATATATAATTATAATAAATTATATAATTTTATTTAATTATTTTATAGTGTTTGCAATTTAGAATTTTGATTTCTTGGGGGGCCCCCCTGCCTCCCCTCAATTGACGCCTCTGGTGGCTGTCAGGAAATAGGGAAAGGCAGGATGTTGTTAGAGAAAATTGCACAAAGGATAGCAAAGGCGTCATTGTTTTAGACCCAACGGGAAAAAAAAACTATGGAGTATATGGAAAAACTTTTAAATGAAGAAAATGATTGGGATGGGGTTATTGAGGCAAATATAAATGTAGCAAAAGTTGAGTATATAAAGAAAGGAGAAGTTGAGTGGGCGCTAAGAAAAATAAAGACTGGCAAGGCTGTGGGTAACTGTAAAGTGGCAACAGAAATGTTGAAGGCAACAGGTGATTGGGGAATTGAGAGGCTGGCTGATTTGCTCAATATAGTAATCAGGAAAAAAGAAATTTCAAAAGGTTGGGAGAAAAGTATAATTCTTCCATTATACAAAGGTAAAGGGAACCCTTTAAACTGGATCTTATACAACAATCAAATTGGGGAAATGAGAGACTGACTGATTTGCTAGATATAGCAATCAGGATAAAAGATATCCCAGAAGATTGGGAGAAAAGTATAATCCTTCCAATTTCAAAAGGTAAAGGGGATCCTTTAAACTGGATCTTATAGAACAAGATAGTGGATCTTATAGAACAATCAAGCGTTAAATCCAGAGAGAAAAGAAAAGCTATAGAGTATATGGAAAAACTATGGAGTATATGGAGATCAGAGCTATAAGATAGTGATTAAAAAAATTTTGGAGCAAAGAATAAGGGACCAGGTTAGTAATGACAAAATGCAGTTTGGTTTTTGTCCAGGGAAGAGTACTATTGATGCAATTTTTATTGTTCGACAAATTCAAGAAAAGTTCGGAGACAAGAAAAAAACTCATTAGCATGCTTTTGTAGATCTGGAAAAAGTTTATGATAAAGTTTCAAGGGGAGTAGTTAGGTGGACGCTTAGGAAAGGCGGGGTAGAAAGAGCCAGGACAGTGGTAAGGATTAACGATAGTGTAGGTAAGTGGTTTGATGTTCAGGTAGGTTTACATCAGGGCTCTGCTCTAAGTGCTCTACTTGGACATGATTATTAGGGAGATCAGAAGTGGGTTGCTATTGAAAATTTTATCTGTTGATAACCTTGTTATTATGGCAGAGAGAACTGAAAAAAAAGCTATCAGTGTGAAAAATATTCATGGAAAGAAATGGTTTAAAGGAAAATGTTGGTAAGACCAAAGTTATGTGGATCGGAGAGGATTCAGATACTCTTGAACGTGGTAAATTTCCCAGTATTGTGTGTGGTAAAAGAGTCGGGGAAAAGTCGAGGAAAATTCAATACTATGTGTAAAATATGATAAATGAACTCACAAACAATGCAGGGGTTTGAAAGGAGACCTCAACAAAAGCAAGGAATTTGTTTGTAAACGATGTAGGTTAAACGATGCTACTAAGCAAAAAGGTGATACTAGGCACCTGGGGAATCTGGAAAATTTGGGATTTGAAAAAGTGGAGTCCATGTAATATATTAAGTGAATAAGGTGGATCGAATAGAGCAGTCCAGAATGGAATAAAAGGATGGAAAAAATTCAGAGAAATGACTTCAGTGCTGTGCTCTAGGGGTATACCATTTGGTGTAAATGGTAAGGTATATAAAGCATGTGTATAAAGTTGCCTGCTGTATGGGTGCAAAACTTGGGCTTTGATGGCTGAAAACTTAAAAAGGCAGGAAAGAATAGAAAAGCATATGTTGAGAAATATTCTGATATCTAAAAATAAGGTTACAGAACATTAAAAAACAATAATTTCAAGAAAACTTTGCTTTGATAAAACTATTCTCTAAACTAATTAATTGCATTATGTTGATTATCGCTCGCCTACCAAAATGGTACTAAAATGTTAAATATCTCAGTTTTCCCAAAAGTAAATTGGATTTTGGTAGGAACAAGTATACTAAAAAAAAAATATTACCAATCTGAATCTATCAAAAAACTTTTGTACAGAACTTATTCCGGGTTTGATAAAAATTGATTTTATTCTACCTTACTAAAATGTGCCATGATTCGTTATGTATATTTGTCATTGTACGTTGTGTTGTGTCTCGCGTGTGGATAGCTGAGAATCAAAAGTAGTTTTTGACCGCACAAAAGTTTAGTTATAGAATTATTTATAAAAAAATTTAAATATAGAATGACATGTAATTAGTTCTGCATTTGACAGTGCTGCATTAATTAAAAAAACAAAACAATAATCACTATTAAAGGCTTTTAAATCCAACGTACTTCTAACTTTTTTCCGGGTGACATGACATGAGGTAATACACTGTACAAGATGGCAACGAATCTTTGGCAACGATTTTTATTACAAATAAAATAAACGTTTGACATATAAATGTATATAATTATATATATATATATTTACAATATTCTATAAATTCTACCGAATGTTTGGCGTTAATATGTTTGTAGTTCGTTTTTTCGATTTTTCTCACTAAAGTTTTTTGGTGAACGTTTAGTTTATTAAAATTAAAAATAAACTTATTTTCCAAATTCATGCTGCAAATAAGGCCATATAACGATAATTAGGTATTATATATATATATACCGCAGGGCGCACTGATGATGTGGACAAGGAATAAAATACAATGGATATAATGGATATGGCATGAAAATTAATTTATTCCTTTTCTCTAGTGACAATAGCAATCTTACTCTTCTTCTTGCTCTTGACTTTTCCTTGGCTTTTGATACTGTTGACCATACTATTCTTTTGAGACTGCTGCATCTTTCTTTTAATATTACTGATTCTTGTCTATCTTGGTTTTCTTCTTATCTCTGTAATTGTTTTTATTTTGTTGTTCTCAATAATTCTACTTCTAACTCCTCTACACTTACTTTCGGGGTACCTCAGGGTTCTATCATTGGCCCTCTTCTATTTATACTCTATACTTCTGAACTACCTCGTATTATTAATAACTTTTCTTTCTCTAGTCAACTATATGCTGATGATTCTTACATTTATACTTCTTTTCCTCCATCTAATCTCAATAGTGTTCTTCATAATTAATTTCTTTGTCTTTCTTCAATTATCGCTTGGTCTGACTCTATGTGTCTTCAACTTAATCCTTCTAAGTTTGAATTAATTTGTTTTAATAAATCTAAACACTCTATTACTATCTATTATCTAAACACTCCTATTATTTTACCTGGTTCTAAAATTCTTGATGTCTCTCATAAGTTTCGTAGTCTAGGTTTTAACTTTGATTCTACTATGTCTCTCTCTTCTCAGATTAATAGTGCTGCTAGAAGCTCTTACTTTCATCTACGTAGATTAAAAAAATTGTGCCTTTTCTTGAGGATCCTACTCTTCTCCTTCCTGTTACTTTGTTAGTCTTATCTAGAATTGATTATTGTAACTCGCTCTACTATAGTCTTCCTGAACTCTATCCTTTAAGTAAAGCTTTTAACTCTGCTGCTCGTCTAGTTGCTCGTGCCCCTTTCTTTTCTCATATATCTCCATATCTTGTTCTTTTGCACTGGCTACCTATAAAATATAGAATAATTTTTAAAATTTGCACGTTCATGTATAAGTCTCAATCTAAATTATTTCCTAAGTATTTATCAGATATATTAATTGAACCTAAACGCCCCGGTTTACGATCGTCTTCTTCTTCTCCTGTTTTTTTAACTCGTGTTAAACACTTTTTTGCCAAATCTGCTTTTGCTTTTTCTGGTTTTTTTCTCTGGAACTCTCTACCTACTTCTCTGACTACTTCTCCATCATCTCCATCTTCTTCTTCTCCTGTTTTTTTAACTCGTGTTAAACACTTTTTTGCCAAATCTGCTTTTGCTTTTTCTGGTTCTTTTCTCTGGAACTCTCTACCCACTTCTCTGACTACTTCTCCATCACTTGCAAAGTTCAGAGCGGATCTCAATACCCATCTGTTTTCAAAATTCATTGAGGAGCGCTGTTGAACATCGCGGAAATAGAGCTTTATAAGCTAATTGATTGATTGATTGATTGATTGATTGATTGATTGATTGATTGATTGATTGATTGATTGATTGATTGATTGATTGATAACAAAAATTGTTTTTTGTTCTATGTTTCAAGCATCGTCGTTGTCTTCGTCAGTGTCTTTGATTAATCGTCGGATCTGAAATTATCGCTTGCGAAGTTTTTGTCTCGTTTGCTGTTTTAAATTCGATTTCGTATTGCATTTTATATATTATATACTATATTTAGTACATTTAAAAAGAAAAGGGATTTGTATAATTTTCTGCATTTATATACATTTCGTTTTATACATTTTACATTCCACATACATACATACATGAGGTTGGCCGGCAAATGCGCCTTGGCCCTGGTCGTGGTCGAACTCAAGACCAAATTCTACCCGACTCAGGTAGGTGTCGGGATTAAGGGTGGCGCTGAGGCCGCTGTTCATGCGGTTCGAAGATTGGTCACCGACCTCCCCGATCAATGGGGGTTTTTGAAACTGAACTTTAAAAATGCCTTCAACGCCTTGAGAAGAGACTCGATGTTGGAGGCTGTCAGACTTTTTTGCCCCAATATCTATAAATTTTGCCATTCTGCCTATAGCGGAGTCTCTTCTCTTGGCTACCACTCTTGGGTTGTAGAATTGTCCGAGGGGGTACAGCAGGGTGATCTTCTTAGTCCTTTGCTGTTCGCACTAACTCTTCATCCACTCTTAGAGAAAGCTTTGTCCACTTTCGTTTGCGCTTATCTGGATGATATCAGCATTGGCCGATTGCTACGAATATCTGAAGCATAACTCCGCTGCAATTGGTTTAGAGTTAAACATTAAGAAATGCGAACTTCACTGTTCAGGTTATTTCAGGTGCCACATGCGCTGGCTGGAATACCCAAAGTTGGTGCATCAGAACTGAGTTTTTTAGGCACACCCTTGGTCGAGGGCGATTACCAAATAAAGTTCTTTGACCAAAAGCTCTCTGAGCTCAAATTCGCCCTGGGTCGTGTTTCCTGTCTTTTGGCCCATGATGACTTGACTATTATCCGCAATGCCTTCAGTTTGCCCAAATTGATGTACTTTCTGCGTACATCCAAACACATTGATCCTTCTAAATTGGGCGAATTTGACAGAGCCCTGCGCACCGCCCTGTCGTCGATTTGCAATGTTCAAGTGACCGATAGTGGTTGGTCCCAGCTGCCGGTTCAATTAATATATCTGATAAATACTTAGGAAATAATTTAGATTGAGACTTATACATGAACGTGCAAATTTTAAAAATTATTCTATATTTTATAGGTAGCCAGCTGCCGGTGCGATTTGTTGGGCTGGGGTTGCTTAGCGTGGTTCAGCTGGCTCCAATTGTTTATAATTATAATTGGCTCCAATTGGCCGCTGCCACTCTCGACTTGCAGTCTTCCCTGCTCTACCGGTTTTTGTGTTGCCGCGATATTCTTCCCCCAGTGTCTGCCCCGGAGGACCGTACGCACGTCCAAATTTTGAACGAAAAATATAAAAAGATCTTTCAAAATTTGTTGTATTCATGCGGCGACGACTTTTCCACCGCTCGTTTGTTAGCCATGTCCAGCGTTGCCAGCTGTGGGTGGTTGAGATCGTGGCCCAACACCTCTGTGGGCACCAGGCTTAACGACGAGTCTGTGAGATTTGCCATAGGCTTCAGACTTGGCCTGGTCATCCAAAATAAATACACGTGCCGATGTGGCGCTGGGGCGGACGAGTTTGGGCACCACGGTTTGGTTTGTTGCCTGGGTGGGAGCCGTCAACTACGTCACTCAGCATTAAACAACTACATTTGTCGGCTCTTCTCCAAGGCTTCAATCCCAGTTCTTAAGGAACCATCCGGCATTTCTGCGCATGATGGTAAGCGCCCGGACGATGCACACTAATACCTTAGAGAGCCGGTAGATGTTTGGGGTGGGATGTTACGGTCCCTGGCACCCTTGCCGAACAATACGTGAACCTGACAAGTAAAAAATGCGGTTTGGCCGCGGCCAGGGCAGCGGACGAGAAAATGAAAAAATATGGGAATGCCCTCCCCTCGATGGAATACTTGCCAATATGTATCGAGGTTCTCGGCCCGATAGACCCCAACACCCTTAAATTTCTTAAGGCAATATGTAAAATGATCAGCGTCAGATCAGGCAACAGCAGGGAACTGTTTTCGCAACAAACCACATTTCGTGCTTGTTGCAGCAGTTCCTGCGTGTCTGTGTGCTTGAAAATATCCAACTGAATGTCGACATGTGCAATTAACAACAAATCAAAGTGTTGATCCATTTGTTACTTGATGTTTGACGGTTCAGTGTCACTCATCATGTTTTGGTTTTAACATACAAACATACATATACACAATGCACATACATAAGTAGTTAAGTACACATGACATGACATTGAGATTAAACTATTAGAGAATCTTAATTCTTAACTCGTCAAAATAATATTAAAAACAATAATACATTTTTAATTAGAAAATATTTGCTTAGTATTTGATTTGACAGACACAGATTCTCAACCAAATCAAAATGCCTGTGTGTTCCATTAGAAAATACCACTCATCTTATTTAGATGAAAATGTTACTTTACACAGGTTAATTTAATTTAGAATATACTATACACTATACTATAGCTGTAAAGTATAACACTAAAGGGGCGTCTATCCCCCCCTAAATGTTGGAGGCAAAAATCCCCCCTCCATGCCCGTCCGGCTCTATTTTATAATGTGTACTAAAAATGTGAACACACACACAACACAACTCTTTAATGTTCAACAATGTTTTTTCTGATAAGATAACAAAAACTTCTCTTATAAAGTTGAGTAAGTAAAATGAAAAAAAGAACAATTTTAAACAATGAAAATAAAAAAAATGCGATATATACAAATAAAACTTCTGTCGAAATTTAATAAATATTTAATTATACAACAGTTGAGACTTTAAAGACAGGCTTGACAATGCAATTTTCGTTATTATTTGATCATCAGTGAATGTTTGAAGAATATCTTTCTCTGCTGCTATTATCATTAATGCTGATAAATAATCATCTGTCATGGTAGACCTTAGGCGGTTCTTTATAATTTTCAGCTTACTTAAAGCTCTTTCTGCAGAGGTACTTGATAAAGCAAGAGAAGCAAATATTCTGTATAGCATCAGCAAATTGCGGTAACCAAATAGTTGATGAAGAACATTAAGTGGTTTTATGAAACTGCAACTTTTCCAATTATTAGTATCATTCGTTTGGACTTCTTTATATGCCATATTGTTATTGTCATCTTCTTCATCTGATTTATCAGAAAATATTTCCATGCCAGAGTCATAACCTGAACCTGCAGACAGGTTTTCCATCTTTTCGTCATTTTTTTAGCAACTGTATGCTTTTTTAAATTCGTTCAGTTCATTTGCAACATCCTCTGCGTTGACACTATACTGGTTAAAAACAGTTTCTATTTCACTAGCCTTAACACAACGGTTGCTTAAAAGTGTTTTGGGAGTAAATAGCGAAAGTTCTTTTAAAAAAACCAAATTTTGCTGCTCAAATCTACTTTTCATTTGTTGATTCACCTCATCTAAAACAATTAAAAAGCATTCATTTTTCATTTTATTTATTCCAACTGAACATTCGTCGCTGCAACGTTCATCAAACATTTTTTTTTTCGTACGACGTCTTTCAAAATCAAAATCTGGGCTGATGCCATGTGCTGTTGCGAATGATTTCGATTCACTGCATATTGTTTTCTACGTCAAATCAGCATTTCTTCTTATGATGTCAAACTGATGAATGCAGTCTTTTATCAGTTCTGTAGCAGACGCCATGTCAATTGATATACCCTGCACTGCTTTGGATACAGGACCAATAATATTATAAACCAATTTTAAAATTTTCATGCTAATTATCACACGGATGTTTTTCATTCTTTTACGAAATCCAAGTGCAACAGTAACTGTTTCACTGTCACTCAATGATGATTCAGCCAACTCGGATAGACTTGCTAATATTTCTGAATATCTTTTCATCACCGTTTCTACGGCTAATTCTGTGCTGTTTCAGCGAGTGGTTTGAACACGCTTTAATTGCATTTTATGCTGACAATAACTTTGAGAATTTTGGAATACAGCATTTCTGCTATGATCATTCATGAATGAATATAAATCTTTTAGCAATCCTAGCGTGTTTTTTATTTCATTACAGCATTTCATAACGCCATTCATCACTAAATTTAACATGTGTGCATTGCACCAAATATAAATTGCTTTTTTTACACTCCTTTTGAATAAGAGTAGCCAATCCAGCATACCGACCTCGCATGTTACCTGCACCATCATATCATTGACCTATCACCCATGACATATTAAAATTCAATTTAGTCAGAATATCAATAACTTCTCCTTTGAGAATCTTGCCCGATGTTTCTCCACAAGTAAAAACTTCCAACAATCTTTCAACTGGATGCAAATCTTCCATACTATTTATTTCTAGATATCTCAGCAAAAGAACATTTGCTTCCTTTTTAGTAAAATCTTGTGTGCTATCAAAAATAACACATGCCTTTTGTTGTTCTGCAATATTTGACACAATTTTCTCAACAATCATTCGTTTCATTGTTGTCAAAACTACTCGAATATTGCTGGAACTTAGAGAATTAACTGCCATTTTCTTTCTTAATCTATGTGATTCATCAACTTTCATCAGATTTGCAGCAGCACTTGGAGTCCGTTTAGATATTATTCAAAAAAGATTTATAAACTTTCCATTATTAGATGTTTTTCCACGAAAAGCTATCATTTCTTCACTTAGGTACTTAACACAATCTAAAATGCATACCATAACTTTTCTATTTTTTTGAAATATATCTTTTCTATTTCTCTCGATGAAGACATCTACGGCTAATCCTCTTTTCCAATTTATTTTTGCAATATCAGCTTCGCGATGCTCTGCACTTGCTTTATGACGAATGATATCCCGCAAACCATTATGCCAATTATTAAAACCTGATGTTGTCCATACAACTGAACCTTTTGGGCCGGAAAACATAATACAAGTAATACAGTAAATTTTGTCAGTTTGTTTGCTGTAAGACAACCATTGTCTCTTACATTTTGAGCCATCTGGCATTACACATTCAAACCATTCTTTTTGGAAACTGCGACCATCAGTAACAGGATAGGAATAGTCATTTGGTTGATATACACCAAGTGCCAGGCATGTTGTTATTTCATGCCTTTTCAATATTCGTCCACAAAACTGAGCTGCATCTTTTTTGTCTAAAGCTAAGTTTAGATTTTCACAATAATTAAATTTATTTTCAATATTTTTTACAACTAAACTATGAGCATTCAAGTTGGAATTGTTAGATTGATTCAAATCATAAACGTTGCTGTTGGATTCAGCTGCCTCTGTTGGCAAATATTCTTTAGCAACAACATCACCAATATCATCATCTGATTTTCTCATATCATTATTACTGCCTGCTGGCATTAAACTTGTAGATGGTGAATTAGTTTGGCTTGAGCTTTGTGGTTTCCATTTACCATAGATGTCTTTTACAGAAACAATGTCTTTTTTATATTTGAATGGGTGTAAGAATTAAATGAAAGGAGACAACACAAATAAATAACGCTTTCAAATTATTTTTCAAAATCTGTTTAGTTTAATTAGATTTAGAGAATAACCTTGCATGCATATATCTATGGTCTTTTCTGCAATGCAAACACCACTTATCTTGGCGAATGATCTTGCGACAACCGGGCTGCAAACATTTGTACTTACAAAAAATTTCTGATCTCGAGGCATTGTTTTAAAAAAATTATTAATCCGGAATAAAAATTTAAATAAAACTAAAGCGACGCAAAATTGAATTCAAATATTCAATATTAATTTAATCAAAACAGACGAGAATATTTGGCTCCGCCCATGAAACTAAAAGTGATTTCGATGTAAACTCGTTGAAAATTCAAATCAGACGAGAATAATTCACTCCGCCTATAAAATTAGCTAAAAGTGATTTTGACGTAAACTAGTTGAAAGTTATTAATTTATAACAATGAGCGCGAAGTACCATAGTTATGTTGAAAATACGTATGTATGTTTCTAAATTGTTTAAAATGTTTGAATCTTTTTTTAATGTAACACAAAAAAATTTCCCCTAGCTTAAAATGGAGGCAATTGCCTTTTCCCCTCCTTCTGTAGACGCCCCTGTAACACTATACAATATAATTATAATAACCAGCAAACAATTATATATTATAATATAATATAATAATAATAAATAATATTAGTAACATAATAAATGCATTAAAAGGTAATGTTAACTCAAAGTTGTATAAATATTAATCAAAATAAATTTAAATTCAGACTGCCAAAGAATGATATTAAGAGAATGCAATGGGAAAACCTCATTAAAAAATACATTGACAATTACGATGAAAAAAAGATTTTAATTTGTAGCAAACATTTTACACCAGAATGTTTTCATTAAGTTGGTTTGAAAATTTTTTTTTCAAAAAGATGCTTTTCCAATGATATTTGACAAGGTTAGTGTTACGTATATAAAAACCAATCATTTCAAGGTTCAGTTGTATAGTTTAAATGTTTTTAAAGTTATAATTTCGAAATTAAGATATTGTTGTCAGGATAATTTTTTTGATGTGTTCTTTATTTATGTTATGATTTATTATATACCGAAAATAAACTTATTTTAATTTTTGAAGTTTGTAAACAATAATCTGGTTTTATCATAAGACATAAATTAAACGTTTTGTATTTTTAGCCTTCTTCAGATGTAAAGTTAGTTTCCGATAATATTTCTGCAACGTTAATAACTGATGTGATGTCAAGTGTAAATTTGGTTTTTGTTTTTGTATCTATTTATTATCAAGATTGTGTTACATTTTAAGCCACCAAGTATTACAAATTTCAGTTTTTATTAAACATTTTTTAAAATTTGCTTTGCGTTAAGTTTTGGAAAAAAAATATTTCATATCATTTACAATTTTTAATATAATATTTTTAAACATTTGTCTCTTTGTTGTCAAATTAGTTGCCATTGACTTACATAAATGATTTGCACTTAAATATAAAACTATCCTTATTTTAATCGCTAGAAGTAAATTATTGAAAATACATTTTAAAAATTTATTTAAGTTTTACTTATTTTATCACTGATTAAATGTAGAATTAACACAGTTTGCTAAAAACAGTCCATTTCATATTCATGGCATACAATATATAATGGCAGATTAGTCATTAATTTACTCTGGTTTTTATCAATAACTAAAAATTATTAAAATTGCAAGCAGACATTTTTCCATTTTTTATATATACAATGCAAATTCAAGAGACAACATGAAAGTTTATGAAATTTGGTTCAACTTCAGATGATTATATATTCAAAAAAAGGTACTCAAATGTATGATTGTCAGCTATTGTTATTACAGTAATTATGAGCATTTGGTATACATTCTCATGAATTTACATATCACGTTTATAACAATAATTAAATAAAACGTAAAGACAAATTAATATGAATGAATGAATGAATGATTGTGATTGATTATCAGAATATCCATTGCAGAGCAGAGTGAGGGATAACAGTGCAACTTGTAATTTTGGAAAATAGTATCAAAAAAGCCCAACGCAATTGAAACACACCAGCAACGTTAGCAATCAAACATTACCAACTTATGTTGCTAGTTTTTTAAAGCGAAATTCTTATTTGGTAATAACTCAACTACGGAAGCTATGACGGTAATCAAAAACAAGACGATATTTTAAACATAGATAAAAAGGTAAATGTTTTTTAAAATTAATTTTTCTTTGAAGTTTTAGGTTCTATGGATCAAGATTTTTTGCAAAAATTTATTTTAACTGATGTATGAATGTATATATATATACATATGAGACTTGCCATATCCATTATATATGTCCATGTAAAATACTGTTAATGTACCAAAAGTACACAAAAAATAAAAATTAAGTTTACTTTTCGCAATATACTCAGTACATGTTACATAAATATTAATGGCGTGGTAAGCAAAAAAGTGTTCTTTTGCATAAAAACTACAATTAGTTATTTTTATTTCTTGAGCGATGGATTCGTTTTTGCGGGAAAATCCAAGGTTTAGTGAAGCATTGGCTTCTACATTTCTCTCCAAAAATTTTGACATCA